GTAATAACCTGGAACTTAAGTTATACAATTAATACAGTTCATAAATTACGTTAACCTTTAAAGTACTATATTACACTACAAAACTATTTCAAAATGCTTCTGTTCAATGAAGAATGATAATGTGGTAACCGATAATAAATTGTAACTAATATCGTAATTTCTGAACAACCGAATAAATTATTAAAGAATAAAATTATGGTTCGTTTATGCATTCTGACTCTGTATCCTCGTTATGTAAATTTTCTTGAGTTGGTGGCCCGTGTAAAAACTAAATATTCCAAGAAAAACTAGCAGTTGGATACAGTTCTACAGTTGAATAACATGCTTTGAAAAAGAAATATTCATAAGATTAGTGTAGTAAAAAATACACCAAGTAAACTCGTACAATCTTGATACCACTATCACACATTTAATGAAAAATTTATCAATTACACTAAAGGATACATCTTATCAGTATATCATCAAGGTTAGGTAAATATTATTAATATACAAGATTTTAAAATGTACAAATGTTTTATAAAATATAACTGTTAATTACACATTTTTATTTTACTTATTCTATTTTCAGTACTTACAGAAAAAAAAGATCTCTAACCTTTGAAATTTGAAGAGAAAAACATTAACTCTTGGTTTTCAAGATGGCATTAAAATAGTATGTATTTTAAATTTATATAACGATTACTGAAAGTTAAAAGTTTTTATTTTATGTATTTCTTACAAATCAAAATGACATGTATAATAGCAATCAATGGAGGGTTCTACCTCTATTGACTTAAGACTAAGCAGAAAGTGTTCTTTGAATTTGACATCTCAGTACATGTGTACAAAAGAGACATAGATTTGAAAGGCTGGACTTTCTTTGATTTGAATAGCTTGTAGCTAGCAAAATTCATCATCCTGTTTGCCTGCCATTTTGTTTGCCTAAAAACATTTATTTCAGAAAGTTGCATGTTAAAAAAATAAAATAATTTGCCTTTATACGTTTACTTTTAGCGTATGTATACAGCTTAATTATCAAGAAATGCATCTGAAAAAACTTAATTCCATACAGCCAGTAGGCCTAAATTGTAGAACAGTTTACTTATAAGTGCTTCACAGCTGGTCTTCTGTTCTCTAAGATCCTTCTAACATAAACTAAAGAAAATTAAAATAAGTTTAAATTTAATTATAATTTCAAACAGGACAATGATGTGAAATGTCATCAGAAAAGATAAGTTCACAAAATGGCTCATTTTATTGTCTAATGCTGAAATCAGGAGAACCAATAACACGGCAAAGACAAGGATCAGAAGAGTTCTGGTTTCGAAGCTAAAACATCATTTGGTCCATTGATAAATACATACCATTTTCATATTGCTTGCAAAAGAAAAAAAACAAAGCCATTGTCAAGAACCCTGAACTGTATAATTTATATAAACCTAACAAAATCCAAATAAGGAAAGTCTACACACCTTTCAATAAAAAAAAATTTACATAACAAAATGACTTGGATTGTAAATAGATGTATTAGGTTTGCATTAATTTCAGGTACTGCTACACTCATACAAACTTAACTTATTGTACAAATCTTATACAATAAAACATAAAGATATACATTTATGGTTTATATTTTTGAAATGAAATTGACAATAGAAAAGGCTGACACCTATCATAACATTGTGAAATTTTAACAGTTGAATGACTTCAAATGAAGTTGTACTTAAAAATATACATTTAATTATTGAATTTTTACACACTGTCATACTTATAATTCCTTTATATTTCCCCTTTTGTTTTGAACCTACAAATAATTGTTAGCACACAAAAAAGTTATTGGAAATGAGAGATAAACTCATGCCAGTTGTATTTTAGCAAATTTTTGTTTTAAGCAAGAGAACCTGCTACACTGTATTGGTTCATAAGTTACTGATACCACTAATTTCTACAATAACTTTTATACATTATTGATCTCTATAATGCCTACAAAGTGAATTTTTCTTTTGCATTTTTTAAAGTTTCCGATATCGAATAATATATCCCGAATGTGGTCTAATCCAGGAAAGTGGTCCAAAACAAAATAGAAATACAAAAACCTTTTTTTTTTAAAAGCTTTCTTTCACAACAAATTAGAGATGAAAATCCAAAGAAAAAGTTTCTGAAATGAAAGTTCTAAGTATTTTTCATTCTCTTTATATACTTCTTTGCACTGAATTGAAACTGTTACATTTTTTTTATTAATAATACAGAAAAAAATCATAAAAGAACATAAAACAAGCTAACTGAAATTTGTGCAAGTACCTATCATCCCTAACAATGAAATCCACTACACAATATTAGTATTATTACAGTCTGTATTCTTCACCTTAAAGAAACCTTGAATGAATACTTCATTACTCGTCAAAGCTCATCAACATTCTGATTTTCTTCCTTATTTTGATATACTTCCATTTCTTGTTCATCATCTTCACCATCAACAGTTCTATCAGATTCCAAGTTTTCCTTCTTGCTTTTACCACTTGAATCACCCTTTTTAGCTTTTACTGTCCTTAAAGCTAAACATACAAAAAATTAAAATTATAAAACTTTTAACCACAACATCAACAAATCCAATTACATAATAACTTGCCAGAAGAGCTGCCAAAATTCTAATAATATTATTAATTACAATCAATTAGTATTAATTATGACTAACAGGCAAATTATAAAAAGCTTCCATAACAACTTTGACTTAGGTCATCAGTTTGGTGCCCTTGCTGCTAGCAGTATTTTCAGCTCTTAACCCAAGAACATCTTATGAAATTGAGTTTACTTAGCAAAATCACAACTCCTTCTCCCTCACAGAAAACAAAATTTGGCAGCAGGAGGAGAGTGCATTAGCTGTGTGAGGGATGACAGTGTCCCCACCACCCTACTCTTCACTGTATTGTGCTAAGCCCAACTGGTGAAGATTCTCCACTATCACAGCAGCTGGGAATTGATAAGTGGCAAGTTTCCTATGCATGCTCCACAACAATTTAAACATGTCTGTTCAATGTAACACCAAGGAAGAGAATGAAGTTATCGCAAGTGCATAGGAGGAGTAAGTGCACAAGAGGTTGTATCATTTTCCTATTGGTAGAAAGCAATTGTTGCATGATGATATCATCATGCATCAGTGCAGTTAACACAACAATACAATTTACAATAACAGTTATTACATACAATGATTTATAAACAAAAGTTTCACAAACTTACAAGCGATATAAAATATTCTTTCTAGTCTGGAACTTCCTTGATATCTTATCACGGGTTCACGATGAGCGAGTGCGAGTTAACTAAGAGTTGATGTAGGTATGATTCGCTTAATGGGAAGTTAGCTAGCTTTGTCCTTCATTATTTATCGTTTTCCAAAATGAATTTATATAATATTTAATATATGTTACAGGTTTTACGTTCGTTTCATGTACACTTATATATGTATTTTTTACATTCCTTTTCGGTAATTCTCTTTGACCATCCAGGCACTTCTTAGGCTGATAAGGCCTAACTCAGAGACTATGCCAACGAAACGCAATAGACCAATAACCTAGCTATAATTTCAGAAGCTTGGTTTTCCACAGCAGTTAATGCAAACATTTTCGGTTCCCTCAGCTGAGAGTTCAGGCGAATCTTCTCTGTCTGAAGCTCAGAATCAAAAACTTCTCTCGAAGTCTGGAACTTCCTTGATATCTTATCGCGGGTTCATGATGAGCGAGTGCGAGTTAACTAAGAGTTGATGTAGGTATGATTCGCTTAATGGGAAGTTAGCTAGCTTTGTCCTTCATTATTTATCGGCCACACACATCTAGTTTTCCACAATGAATTTATATAATATTTTCTTAAAAATACCAATATCCGATGAGAATCCACTGAAGTTAAATGGTTGGTAATGTTCAAACTTTGTGAAGATTCCTGGTCAAATATCTGAAGTTTTCTGATTGATAAGCATTATAATAATCACAGTTATAGTTTCCAAAGGTTATAGCACACTAACTATAGCAAACTAATAATTGATACTCTCTTTTTGGTGCATCGCATTGGTTATATTTATAGGCATGTGGAGGCTTTCTCGAATTTTAAGTTTTACATAACAATACTGGTGCTTATGTACACACGTATACACATATATGGTTCATTCCTACTCTCGAGAATCTTCTACAACTTTGGAGAATAGGTAGGAGTTTTGCAATACATATTTAACAGTATAAGCCATGTACGTTTCTAAATATAAATTTAATCCAAACAAACGTTGATACTAAAATAAATATATAATAACAAATTCGTTACACAGCATGTAATGCTGTTTGAATACAAGAAGAGAAAGTCTCCATAGCCACAAAGAATATCAAAGAAGTTTATGGACGTTCGTAAGGGTCAACAATGGTTCAGCAAATTTTGTTCAGGTGACTTTAGCCTTAAAAACTGTGTAAGCAGGGTCCAACATGTTGGAATTGATTTTGATGCTATGGAGACTCTTGTTGAGTCTAACCCAAGGCAACA